AAAGCTGCATCTGGTAGCAGGCTTTATAGTGGCAAGTGAGGTGATGTACTTCAATTGTACAGTTGCATCTGGTAGCAGGCTTGAAGGCAGAATCTAATACTCATTTTAGTCCATGCGGGCACTGCGCATCTCCCCCCCATTATTTTATTTACCATTTCTGTCCACACCTCTTTCCCACACTGCACACTTGTCTCAGTTACAGTTTTAGTAAGTCCACAAACAAACCTCAGACAAACTGAGTAAAAAACAAACGTCAATGGAGAGCTTCTTTGAAAAGAGGGAATGATGAGACAGCAGAAGACTCTCAGACTGCCTACAAAAAGAAAGCTGCATTTCAAAGAAAATACTAAGAATCCTACTTAAATTATAGGTTCATTACAACAGGTGATTCACATTCTCCAAGTCCACTTTGTATAATACATGGCAACCAGCCATCCAATGAAACCATGAAACCTTCAAAACTGCTTCACCACAAGGAGACCAAGCACTCTGCATTAAAAAAATAAGCCTTTGGAGTTTTTCAAAAGAAAAAAAAAAAAGTGAACACAAAGAGCCAAAGCAATTATTGAAAGCCACCATTCATCAAATGGTCTGTACTGAGAACATCATTCTTAGTAGCTAACAGCATTGCTAAACCTTAGAAGCCCTTTACTATTGATGAAGAGTTGATCCTGCCTACTGCTAAAGACATTTGTAGTCTTTTAGAAGAGGCTACAGTTCAAAAGGTAGCACGTGTTCCTCTTTCAGCTAGCACCATAACTAGATGAACTGACGAAACAGCAGAGGATACTGAGGCACAATTGTTAGAGAGAATTAATGAGTCACCTCGGTAAGCAATCCAGGTTGATGAGTCGACCGATGTTGACAATAAAACAACGACGTTTGTTTTTGTGCAATATATTTTTCAGGAGGATGTGCATGAGGATAAGTTATGTGCACATTTCTCTCTCTCCCTCTTTTTTTTTTTTTTTTCTTTGAGACAGGGTCTCACTCTGTCACCCAGGCTGGAGGACAGTGGCACGATCTCAGCTCACCACAGCCTCCATCTCACAGGTTCAAGCAATCCTCCCACCTCAGTCTCTCAAGTAGCTGGGACTACAGGCATGTGCCATCATGCCTGACTAACTTTTGTATTTTTAGTAGAGATGGTGTTTCACCATGTTAGCCAGGCGCGTCTCAAACTCCTAAACTCAAGCAATCCACCCGCCTCTGCCAAACAAAGTGCCGGCATCACAGGCATGAGCCACCACGCCCAGACTATTATGTGCACTTTTGTTGACAACCAACACAACAGCTGCAGAAGTATTCAAATCTTTGAATGATTACATATCAGGAAAACTGAATTGGTCATTTTGTGTCAATATATGTACAAGTGGAGTGGCTGCCATGACTGGACAGCTTTCTGGTTTTACTGCTTGGGTCAAAGAGGTTGCTTCTGAATGTCAGTCTACTCACTGTGTCGTCAATAAAGAAATGCTGGCTAAGCGAAAAATGTCACCTGAACTTAACAATGTTTTGCAAGATGTGATGAAAATTATCAACCACATTAAAGTATGCACCCTCAACTCACATCTGTTCACACAGCTCTGTGAGGAGATGGGTACACAGCACACATGTCTTCTCTCTTTTTTTTTCTTTTCTTTCTTTTTTTTTTTTTCTTTTTGAGATGGAATCTCACTCTGTCACCCAGGCTGGAGTGCAGTGGTACGATCTCGGCTCACTGCAACCTCCGCCTCCCGGGTTCAAGTAATTCTTCTGCCTCAGTCTCCTGAGTACCTGGGACTACAGGCGTGTACCACCATGCCCAGCTAATTTTTGCATTTTTTAGTACAGACAGGGTTTCGCCATATTGGCTACGATTGTCTCGAACTCCTGACCCCACGATCCGCCCACCTCGGCCTCCCAAAGTGTTGGGATTACAGGAACGAGCCACCGCACCCAACCGCATGTCTTCTCTTATACACAGAAGTGAGATGGCTTTCTAAAGGTGGGTCACTGGTCAAGAGTTTTTGACTTACAAGGGCTACTGCAGAGATTTCTTTTAGAAAAACTGGCAGCACATTTCAGTGACACAGAATGGGTCGCAAAACTTGCTTACTTGTGTGATATATTCAACCTGCTCAAGAAACTCATTCTGTCACTTCAGGAGAGAATAACAACTGCATTGAAGCTGGCAGGTAAAGTAGCTGCATTCAATGCCAAACTGGGATTATGGGGCGACAAGGAAACACTGGAATTTCTGACATGTTTCAAACATTAGAAGAGATTCTTTCTCCCAGCACCTTCTTTCTACCAGCTGGTGCATGAACAACTATTACAGCTTACAAAAGAATTTCAGCATTACTTCCCAACTACAAAAGGCCCCCATACTGGGAAGGAATGGATTCGCGGCCCATTTGCGAGTAAGCCAGGTGAATCGACTTTGTCCATGCTAGAAGAGGATCAACTGCAGGAGATCGCAAATGACAGTAGCCTTAAAAGTATGTTTGAGACAACTTCAAATCACTATACATTGTGAATTAAAGTCAAGGCAGAATATCCTGAGATTGCCACAAAAGCACCAAAAAGCCTGCTTCTATTTCCAGCATCCTGTCTTTGTGAAGCAGAGTTTTTCTGCAGTGACAGCAACCATAACGAGATTACGGAGTAGACTGAACATAGGCAAAACACTTTAGGTGTCACCGTCTCCCATCACCCCCAGAATGGGACCATCTAGTTGCAGGAAAACAAGCCCTTACTCTACATTATGGTGAGTTGAATAATTGTTTCATTATATATTATAATGTAATAACAACAGAAATAAAGTGCACAATAAATATAATGTACGTCATTCATTAACAAACCATCTCCCCTCCCTGTGTCCGTGGAAAAATTGTCTCCACAAAACCAGTCCCTGATGTCAAAAAGGTTGGGGACCGATGATATAATCCATATATAATAGCAAACTTGAAATAAGCTAAAAAAAGATCAAAACTTAAAGAATACTACAAACTTTAAGGATAATGAAAAAATCAATTAGTGCAAACTGATAACTTTGTGTGCTTAAGAAATTTAAGACACATTAAAATATTAAAGCATCATACATCTACAACATATTTTTAATGAGGTATTTAAAATAATTTACAAATTGTTTTAGTAAATTGTTTTACAATATAAATATCCACTGCCATTTGTGCACATACTAAAATTGCCAAGGCTGATAAATATATTCATCTAGGCAAAACTTTCACTACGTAAAGTTTTCAGGTAGAAAAGCGTGGAAAATTTGAGAAAATTTCATTCAAGTAGTGAGCAACAACTAAATCTCTCATTTTGACTTTACACAAATAACATCCAGTTCTGCTCTCTTATCCATTCACTTTTATTAAGATTCTTCTTACCTGAGCATTGCTATATCCATTATTATTACTATGAACTACACTGCCTCCTTCACACAGAAGTTATTCTTCCCTTTTGGTATGATATAGCATTTAAAATATATTTTTAGGGCCAGGCACAGTTGCTCACACCTATAATCCCGGCACTCTGGGAGGTCAAGGCGAGTGGATCACCTGAGGTGAGGAGTTCAAGACCAGGCTGACCAACATGGTGAAACCCCATCTGTACTAAAAATACAAAATTAGCCAGGCATGGTGGTGCGTGCATGTAATCCCAGCTACTCAGGAGGCTGAGGCAGGAGAATCACTTGAACTTGGCAGGTGCAGGTGGCAGTGAGCTGAGATCACGCCACTGCACTCCAGCCTGGGCAACAAGAGTAAAAACTCCGTCTCAAATAAATAAATAAAATAAAGTAAAATACATGTTTAAAATGTGAAACAGACTGATAGTACCTTAATCACTATACCACAATTCCACTTGCTAACATAGCAAAATGTCGGAGAAAAATGTACAAATATTAAATGTAAGGAAGTAAGATGCTATTTATGAGTTACACAAAATAAAAATGAACATAAAAATATAAAGAATAAAACTGCATTTTATTAGACAAAAAAATAAGAATTAACGAAATTACCAAAAGAAAAAAAGGTGTTATAATTCTATATATTTTTTAAAAGTAGAAATTAGGATATATGTATGAAAGTGAAGGGGGTAGAAGAAATCGTGATTTGGTGGAAACCTTTGTATTTTCTTAGATCACATAAAGTAACTTCATGCTGTAAGTTTAAAAGAATGCATAGTGCCTTAAAAGAAAAAAAAAGTCATTTCCCAGATTTTACAAAGAAAAATTAGGATAACAAAAATTTTATTCTAAAACTTCTATACCCAAAAAATCAATAAATGAAAAATTAATAACATTTCAGTCACAAACAGAATATTATGGATATTAATTGGCAATTCACTAAACAGGAAACAATAGTAAGTGAACACATAAAAAGATGTTTACAATAGTAATCAGGAAAATGCACATTAAAATACTATTCACTCCCGTCACCTTGGCAAAAGTAAAAATCCTCAAAATTTTCAAATGTTGGTGAGAACATGAAGAATCAGGGACAAATACCCTGTTGGTGGAAGTATATATACATTACCACAGTGACTTGAAAAGCACTTCGGCAGCATGTGATAAAGTTGAGGATATAAATACCCTCAGATACAACAATCTCACTTTTAAGTATGCACCCTAGAGCAACTCTTAAATATGTACATGAAAAGACCAGTATAAGAAGTGCAGTGCAGCATTGTTTATAACAACAAAAGGTGAAAATTTACCTAAATGCCATAAGCTCTGTAGTTCACAGGAAGTTAGATGATGAAACTAAATAAATGCTTTTTAAAAAATACAGATGACAATAAAACGTGAGTGCAAAGAAGAGCAAATCCCTGAACAGATGATATTGAAGTCATACTGGTAAACAAAATTACTCATCTGAAATTAAGACAGTATCAGCATTTATAATGAATGCATATAAAGTATTTCTATGTCAGAAACCATTTATTTTAAAGTCAATCATTCATAATAATAATGGCAACATAGAAAATGTGTTATCTTGTGTACTCACCAAGTCTTAGTGTTAACTTCATATTTATAAAGATCATCAACCAATCCATATTTGTTGCCTGGCAATGCTTTATACCCTCCATGAACATAAATGGACTTTGTTATTTCATCATACACACTGGTATGGCCATATCCACCTTGTACAATAGCTCCTTTAGTTTCTGGAACAAGCCAAGTGTTTGATGCTGTAACAGAAAGAAAATGCATTGTAAATTTCAAGTAGTATTTTTAAATATAACTAATATATCACCAGAAATACCAACAAGTTAATTCTAATGACATATTTTTATGAGTAAATATCACAGAGTTAATATTAATTTAATCAAGAAACACTTATTAAATATGTGCCAGGTTAGGTGCTGGGGTTGAAGTTGAGTAACACTGGTCTTTCCATAGATGAAGTTAAACTCTGAAATACTAAAAAGAACATTTTGTGTGTTTGCAAGAGAAAAAAGAAAACTTTATTCTTATACTACATAAATAGCTCTGAAAAAAAATTTTAACAAATATTTTATGAGAGCTTACCATGTGAGTTAGTCACTGATATTACAAGGATAAAATGATAAGATCCCTACCCTTAGTAATCTAAAATTAAATTAATTGAACACATTTTTAGTACTGTGCTGGTCCTTTATTTGTTGGATATAAGCCCCACTTTCCTTTTCATAAAGTCCTTTGTATTGCGGAGGATGAAAATCTAAACGATAAAATTTCCAAGACTCTCTTGACAATTGTGTTACTATTAGGTTCCATCAATGGGAGTACTAGTATGAGATTAAAGGGCAAGAGGAAAGATTCTGATTTTGCCTCTAGCAGCAGGAACAGGAAGGCAACTACAGTAGGTAATGGCAGTGCTGGCTTAATAGGTATTCTCTGTTCAGTAGCAAAACTGGTACGTTTAGTTGCTCACTGGCAAATGTGATCATAGGCTCCAGCCTAGGTATGTAGCACTTCTAGATTTCTGGGTGATCCCTTCCCTTTGGTATCTCTAGTCCTTCTAACACTTTTGTAACTAATTTCCGATATTAAAATCCCACTCTGATTGCTGTATCTACAAGAGATTCATTTCCCAATATAGTTTCACTAATAAAAACACCAATCATATGCAAGGGATGCTCTTAAGAAACGCATATGAAAAATCCACAATTTCTTGGCCTTAGAAAATTTACTCTAAAAAGCAGCTATATAAAAATATGTTATTTGTTTTTAATTATGCATATAGATCATATATCCATACTTCCTCTAAAGCCACCTAAAATGTGGCTTCCTAGTCAGCTCATTGAAAATACCAAAATCAACTAATAGAAAATGATAACGCTTAAAAACTCTTTGCATTTACAAAATTCTAAGGTAGTAAAGAAAATGATTCTACAATGGTCATAAAAAATAGAAATATCAAAAAAAAGTCATCGAAGCCACTGGTACTTTACCTGTTAAGAAACTTTGTGGTACTCATATGTAACTAATGGGCATTACATTTTGGAGTTAATTTCCAAAAAATGATGTAAAAGACAACTTATCAGAAATAATTTGATTAATATGCTTTAACCACTTATTATGACTATATATATAAATTTGAACTAAAAGATTTTCATATTTTATTCATTTTCTTTTAATAAAGATGAACTGGATCCTTACAAAAAAATATTAAGAGGTATAAAATATAAAAAAGTTACCCTTTCCCCCAACCCACTACCTAGAGGTACTTTCCACAATTTGTTATGTACAGACTATTTTCAAACTACAGTTCTGAATATTTTAGTATACATAAACCACATGTATATGATGTACATAGATATGTTTATGTATATGTGTGTGTGTGTATATATATTTGTACCCCTAAAAAGTACTATGTTGCAACTACTGTTTCGCTTAACAAGACATTTGGGGCATCATTCTGTGTCCCATTTATTACTTTTTTAACAGCTAAATTCCATTGTGTTGATAATATATAATTTATTTAAATAACTCTACATTGTTACTCATTTGGGTTTCAATTTGCCCTTAGAAACAATGGTGCAATAAACAACCCTGGAATCAACAGCAGCATCATTCTCTAATAGAGCACAGTTCTCAGTAACTATCTCATTATCTCATTTAATAATAACCTTTGGAGGGTTATATTATTGCTATCTCTTCTTTACAACTTAGGAAATTCAAAGCTAGAAAAACTTAGTAACACATCAAAAGTTTAAAAGTTAATAAGTGGAACAAGATAGTGTAGACTGATTTTTCCCTGCTCCTCCCCACAGAACCTTAGAAATTGTATAAGAGACAACCAAAGAAAAAAATCTAAAAAGTGTAAAGAGGAAGGCAGACTGGCTAGGGGCTGGAGGATGTGTGTCGCATGACACTCACTCACCCAACAGAAGAAGGTTACTCAGGCCCAGCATTTCTCAACCCGCATCCTTACAATAAAAGGTTACTTGGGTAGGCTTATTCCTTACTCAAATTGAACAAGAGTCCCATGGACAACACCAGATGACCCAAACAGCACTAGCAAGAGGGACCCGCCAAATACTACTTATAGTAAGTACGCAGGGAAAGCACTCCCCTTCCGCACAAGGCCTAAGACTGGAAAGGGAGATCTCACCACGAGAGCTAAATGCAAAACCCAAACTAGGTGACTACTTGCTAAGATAAAAGATTTAAAATAGGACCCAGAAACTCTCATTATAAAACCCAAAATGTCAAGATACAATCAAAAATTCCTTGTCATACCAACAACAAGAAAAATCACAACTTGAATGAGAAAAGACAATCAGGTAATACTGAGATGAATGGATCAGATGTTAAAATTATCTAAAAAGAATTTTAAAGTAGCTATGATAAAAATACTCCAACAAGTAATTATAAATTTATATTTTCAACTTTTGAGTTCTAGGGTACAAGTGCAGGTTTGTTACATAGATAAATCTATGTCACGGGAGTTTGTTGTATAGATTATTTCATCACCCAAGTATTAAGCCTAGTACCCATTAGTTATTTTTCGTGATCCTCTCCCTCCTTCCATGATTCACCTCCAACAGGCCCCAGTGCGTGTTTTTCACCTCTATGCGTCCATGTGTTCTCATCATTTAGCTCCCACTTATAAGTGAGAACATGCAGTATTTGGTTTTCTGTTCCTGTGTCAATCTGTGAAGAATAATGGCCTGCAGCTCCAACCATGTCCCTGCAAAAGACATGATCTCATTGTTTTTCGTGGCTGCATAATATTCCATTGTGTATATGTACTACATTTTCTTTATTCCGTCTATCACTGATGGGCATTTAGGTTGATTCTTTGCTATTGTTAATAGTGCTGCAATGAACATATGTGTGCATGTGTCTTTATAATGGAATAATTTATTAATATATTTCTTTGGATATACACCTAGTAATGGAATTTCTGAGTTAAATGGTATTTCCGTCTTTAGGTTTTTAAGAAATACCACAGTGTCTTCCACAATGGTTAAACTAACTTACACTCCCACCAACAGTGTATAAGTATTCCTTTTTCTCTGCAACCTCACTACTATTACAAATTATCTTGAAACAAACAAAAATATCTCAGTTAAAAAAAAAAAAAAAAGTTTAAAAAAAAACTACAATAACAAATAAAAACTAACTGCATAGGCTCAATACCAGAGTGGAAATGACAAAGGAAAGAATTGTTAAACCTGAGGATGGAACAATAAAATTTATCGAGAGAGGGAGTGGGACAAGGGGTGAAAAAGTAACTACTGGGTACTAGGCTCAATATCTGTGTGACAGGATCAATCATAGTCCAAACCTCAGCATCATGCAATACAGCAACAAACCTGCATTTATATTCACCCCCCTGAATTTAAAATAAAAGTAAAAATTATAAAATTAAACAAAAAAATTAAAAATAAAAATAAATTAAATAAATAAATAAAATTTATCCAATATGAAAAATAGAGAAAATAGACGGTGGGGGGGGGGGAAGTGAACAGAGTCTCAGAGACCCTTAGGACAATAACAAATGATTCCACATTTGTAGCACCATAAACCCAGAAGTAGAAGAAAAAGAAATGGGGCTTACAGAGTTTTTAAAGAAATGATGGCCAAATACTTCCAAATTTCGTAAGACATAAACCTACAGATTCAAGAAACTAAGTAAATCTTAAATAGGTTAAACCCAAAGAAATCCATGCCAAGACACCTCATAATTAAACTTCTAAAAACCAAAGACAAGGAAAAAAATATTGAAAGTAGCCAGAGTGAAATGACAAATTACCTAGGAAAACAATAATTTTAATAACATTGGACTTCTCATGTGAAACCATGGAGGCCCAAAAGAAGTAACACAACTGCTCTCAAATGCTGGAGAGAAAAAGAACTGTAAAGTATGAATTCTACCTCCAGTGAAACTATCCTTCAGAAATTAAGAAGGAAAAAAATTCTTAGATTTAAAAAAACTAAAAGAATTTGTCATTAGCAGTCTCTCCTTAAATAATGGTTAAAGGAATTTCTTCAAACAGAAAGATAAAGGAAGGAAGCCTGGAGCATCAGAAAAGAAGTCAGAATTATAAATAGAGCAGAAATATGAGTACAAACAACAGATTATCCTTCTCATGGATGTTTATTAATAATATATGATGGAAAAAAATTATAACACCATCTGATACTCAAGATAATGATATTTAAAAGTGAGAAAAGTAAAGGTAACGTGATATAAATGAAAGCAAGGTTTCTACATCTCACCTGAGGCGGTAAATCATTGATGCCAGTAGACTGTGATAAGTCAAATACGTGTATTTTAATACCCAGACCAACCACTAAGAAAATTATACAAAAGATACTACCAAAATTATACAAAGAGATACTATAAAGAACACTATACAAGTGCATCAAAATGGAATCCTAAAAATTATTCACATAACTCACAGGAAGCAAGTAAAGAGAAAAAGAGACACGAGAAAATGAAACAAACAGAAAACAAGTAATAAAATAGCAGACTAGGTCACTAACATACCAAAATTACCTTAATTGTAAATGATCCATTTATAAAACATTCTTGGAATTACAAAATTATAAAAATGGAGAACAAACTGGTGGTTCTGAGGAGCCAGGGTAGAAAGGAGGTAGGTGTGGTTAAAGGGGCAATGAGAAGGATCTTTGGGGTGAAGAACTACTCTATTTCTTAACTGTGATGGCAGATACATGAAACAACATGTGTGAT